AAATTGTCCCTAACTTCATTAAAACTAAGCTTACAGTACCTACTTTGAGCGAACTTTGAACTTTGCTTCCGTTTCCGCAGGCAAACAAAATGATTTGTTGCTTTGTCATCGACATCACCTTTAGACTACATACTGGGTTTGCTTCTGCTATAAAAAAAAAACAGGAAAATACTCAAAAGTCTTAATAGCTTTTCACTCGATTCTCCCGAAAAGTTTGCAATGGGCTCGGAAAAAAACGCTCGAAATGGAGTGAAAATTTAAGCAGAGGTAGAGGAACTGCAATTTTTATTGGAATGGATTTAATTTCAGGGGCCGCAAATAATGATTTACATATTTTTTTTAATTTAACTCAAAAAATCCTGCTGAAAGCAAAATGCTGCAGGCATATGGAGTAAACCAACATTCTCCCTGTTACTCAGCAGCTCTAATTTTAATTTTTTTTTTTAATTTTATTAAAAGTAATAAATTTCAATAATTACTTTTTAATTTCATTATAAATAATAAAAAATAATAAAAAAAATATAAATAAATAAATAAATATTAAATAAATAAATAAATATTAAATAAATAAATAAATATTAAATAAATATTAAATAAATAAATAAATATAAATATTTTTTTTGTTAGAAAATAAAAGTTACATTTGGGTATTATTTAGCAATTCAAATGCTAGAGATAAAGATATATGTATGTATATAGATAAGGGTAATGGTGGTAATGGCAATGGTATTGGTAAAAGTAGTTGTAATGGTAATTGTAATGGTAATGGGAATAATATTGGTAATAATATTGGTAAAGGTGCATTGTAATAGAAATGGTAATGGTAATGAGAACAGTAAGCTTCATATTCGATTGCGTTACCCTTCCGTCGTCCTATTCGTAGCGTCTGCCTTTTGGTCTTAGTCTTCATATTCCTATTCGTATTCGTTTTCGTATCATACGTCTTAGGTCTTTGTAGCCATATTCATATTCGTTTTTGTCGTCTTCTTAATTGTTTTCACCTTTGTCTCCCCTTCACCTTTGTCACCTCACCTTCACCTTTGTCCTCGTCCGTCTTCCTCAAAGCAAGATATATGTACATATAGGGTGGTTGACGTCATCCCCGCGGATCTGATCTATTTGAAAGGGAATGCCCGGCACTACCTTATCTAAAATTTTCGGAAAACACGTGAAACGATTCCTAATGACTCGCCACCCGCCTAGTCAGCAGCCAGCTCGTTACCTTGAACCCCTTGTCGCAGCAGCCACATGAGTTCAAACTCATTGCATTATTCAATGGAATTGAACTTCAACTTATATACCTAGAGAATTCTTAGAAGGTACGAACGGGTTTCAAGATCTGGGGGCTGCTTGGTTGCCACTGTAGACCCCAATTTAGTGTCCGCGCGCCACCTTCCGCGAATCACTAAAGCATCGGAAATTAACTGGTTCAGAGGAGCCTTCCTGAATTATTTTATTTTATTTTTTGTTTTTACGAAGAGGAAGTATCGAAAGCCAAATTCAGTCAGTGTGGGGTTTTAACCCAAACTAAATCTCCTACCGTCTGAGTGCCAATCCAACCGGTACTGCTGTTATTTGTTTCGACGGGAGATGGTTTGCGCGCTGCGCTTTAGGTTACTTGCAGTCCTGATGCAGTCTGTTGAAAAGTTGCATCAACTTGGAACAGCCCACCTTCACGCATTGTCGCTTCGGCTAACATCTTCTCGTCTTAGCTTCTGGTGTATTGCTACAGTGTCCATATTTAGTGATGTCAACTAGGTTGTCTGCTGCAATGGATCACTTGTAAAGGATGCTATACTGCATCTATTTTTATTTATTTTTTTTTTTTTTAAGTGGGAAGAAAGACATGACGTGTTCCGCGTCTTCCACCTCTTGACACCGCAAAGCACTTGTTTGCCGAAACCTTCACCATTGAAATAGCCGCTTCACAGGCACATTTTCACAAGTTGCCGATTTTTTCGTCTCTGTGCTAGTTTGGACCGTCGCTGATGACCACACTGAATAGCTTGCTGTCGAGTCAATCTCACCGATAATAGTAGACAATAGTACCGTCTTTTCATTGGAACCTATTTTTACGTGATAGGTCCCAAGCCCAGCGCACAACTCATCGCTGGGAGGGGTGGTGTATAACCGTCCAACTTTAACTGCATAACCAGAAAAACGGCTATACCTCACTGTAAAACATGGCAACATATAAAGAGTCCACACCTTCCGGGACACACGTCACTCACTGTTAATAGCTATAACTTTGAAGTAGTGAAGGACTTTTCCTACCTAGGATCAAAACCGCCAGCCTGCAGATCAAGCGAAGAATAACTCTTGCCAACAGCTGCTGCTTTGGGCTCGGCAGGCCATTTGAAAAGCAGAGCCCTCTCTCAACGAACAAAAATTACGCTCTACAAGTCTCTCATCATGTCCGTTTTTCTATATGGACGTTCTTCGCGGGTATAGGAGGGGATGGAATGATGAGCTGTATGAGCTTTTAACGACATGGACATAGTTAAGCGCATAAAAATAGGTACAGCGATTGCGTTGGCTTGGACTAGTTGTACGCATGGTGACGATGAAAAGATTGTTCGACTTCGCACCCATGGGTGGCCAACGAAAGCAAGGGCGCCCGCGAACAAAAAGGAAGGACCAAGTGCAGAAGAACTTGCCTGCACTCGGGATAAGCAACTGGCGCGAATTCGCTCAATCTTGTTTCCACGGTTTCTTAAAATGACTTAACATACAAACTGTATATAGATGCAGTTGTATATCCTAAAATATGGTCTTTCGATTGGTGTTATCAGTTTTTGGATATATTCTTTAGTTTACAAGATACTGACTAAAATTGTATTCGTAATTTAGTACAAATTGAGTTAATAATGACTGCATTACTAACCTAGTCAAGATCTTTCAAATGACGTCATCCATTTTTTGGATCCTTTTTTTAGTTTACGAAATATTTTGTACAAATTTAATACAAATTTGCAACACATTTTGTGGTACGTCATACAAAGTGGCTGCGAAATTGTTGAAAAATTTAACACAAGACAAAATTTTACTAAAGAAAATCCTTCATAAACCCAAAAATAATTAACAATAAACAATAAAAATAAAATAATTTAAGAATTTTCGTGAGCTCCTGGTGTGCTTCAAAGGGATAGTCAATAAACCCGCACAAGTCCACCGCTGTCCCATTTACCAAAAGAAGGAAGGAAGTCAACTTGACTAAACCCACCTTGGCAGGGACAGAAATTGAGTTCTCAGAAGAGGCGAAGCATCTAGGGGTAACTCTGGACAAAAGCCTCAATTGGAACTCACATCTCCTTAACGTTACCAACAAGGCTACAAGGACGTTTTATGCCTGCCCGAGACTCCATGACAAAACTTTGGGGAATATCACTAAAATTAACGTATTGGTCTTTCAGTACGGTCGTGAAACCTGTTGTCACATATGCGGCACTGGCCTGGTGGCCAAAAGCAATGCAAGAAAGTGCGGATGCCTCCTTCAGCAAGCTACACCGCTTGATCTGTGTGGCCATCACAGGAGTCCTCGGTATAATTACAGGCATTCCTCCTCTATCCATTCTGATAGAAAAGGAGACCTGCTGGAGCGCCCTATGGCTGCCCAATGTAATCGGCATGAAGAGTGGGGATCTTTAGGGCCACTTGGAGGTTCTCAAGCCTTTTCTGGATGATTCCGCTATCAAGCTCACAGATATCATGTTACCGAAATTATCCTTTGACAAGCCCTACAACATCAGAATTCCTGAAAGGGATTGTTGTAAAGCGATAATATCTATGATTGACAAAGGGTTCGAAGTAAGGTATACCGATGGATCACAGATGGAAGACGGGAGTACTGGGGCAGGCGTGCACGGACCAAGGTGCCAGAAAAGTCTCCCAATGGGCTCATACCCAACCAAGTCTTCGCAATCGAAGTCTGTGTTCGATAATGTCTTCGGAGAAGGACAAACGGGGCCAGAATAAATAATATGTCGGATAGTCAGGCAGCACTAAGGGCCCTAGACTCATTTAGAACGACATCAGGGCTTGTGGACTGTTGTAAAATTCTAGGAGCCCACAATAGAGTTACGCTGTGGTGGGTCCCTGGGCATGAAGGGTTTGAAGGCAACGAAAGGGCTGACTATCTCGCAAAACGTGGAGCCCAAACGCGAATGCATGGTCCCGAGCCTTTCGGTGGTACATCTAGGGGATTGCAAAACTGCTTAGGGAGTTCGGAGGAATCGCAGATTGCTGCCCACTGGCGTAAGTCAAAGGGAATGAGACAATCAAAGAAACTCATAACTCCTTCCAGGAGGAACTCAGAAAGACTCGGTGAACTCAGCCGAGATGGTCTTAGGATTCTTACAGGCTACCTGACTAGACACTGCAAGCTAAGGTACCATCTGAACAAAATTGGGCTTTCTGTAAAGACGGACTGCAGGTTCTGTGGGCTGGCGGAGGAAACCTCAGAGCACATTCTGTGTGACTGTATATCCGACGTACTAAAAATAATAATAATAACATTATCCGAGACTTTGGGGGAACATCTAGATATTGTCGCATTTTTGAGAAATCGCAATTCCCAAAACCAAACCCTGCCGAAAGTAACATACGACAATATTTTACCCAGGTGACGATATGTGATAGTTCACTTCCGGTTCACTTACTCCTACAGCAGATATCCGCTAACTTTTTCATAAAAAAAGTTCCTGCATTTTCTTAATTTGCATTAAACTTTTCCATTTATTTCCATGCAGTACAAAGGTGCAATACATTGCTGCACACTGTGTGCACCAACAAGTATTGCAATAAATTTACCAACCCGCCACCTTTCAACGACAACTACATGATGCCCACTTAGGTATTGCGTCCAATAGGGCCCAGCAGTTTCACTCAAATAAGTAACTTGCTCTGCGCGCACAGCGCAGCCAACAGCACACTCACTCACTCAACCAGCCACCAACTGAAATTATTCACAATTCACAACTTGCAACTTCAGTTGATTTTGAGCACGCAACGGAAAAGAATGTGTAAACGGAAGTGCCGCGTTCGTTGGTTTTGTGACAAACCTGAGTTTTTAACCAGAAATTAAGTGTACATACATATGAATGCACGAAGCAAACACATACACAAAGAGCGAAGTTGATTTAATTAATTTGGCTATGGGAAAATCTACTCCTGTAACGTGAATTTTCTTCATGCACGAAAAGTTAATAAATATCAAATGCAGGGCATTTATGTATAGTAAATTTTAAATCGAGTTGAAAGTGCTAAGCCGTCGAATATACACTTAACTTGAGCTTATTTTTCCTATTTGTGTGCGTTTTTTTTTGTTTTTTTTTTTTTGGTTTTTGACGGCAACGACGAACACCACGACTTGCTGCTTTTGTATGGTGTGCTATGTGACTCCTGATGATGTGGATCTGATGCGTACACGAAATTAACGACGAGAAGGCAAAGCCAGAGCCGTACACACACACACACACACACACACACATATAAATGGGTAGAAACCCAAAAGTGGAAAAAAGTGTGAAGTGAAAGGTGCAAAATTTTTTGTGAAAAATGCTGTGTGATTTTACAAAAATATTTAGCTGCATTGCCCCTACCAGATTTTATGTACATAACGATTTGTGAAAAATATGAAAAATTAAATTGTAAAAGTGTTAAGTAGGAAGTGAATATACTTCACACAAATAAACACATACAAAAAAGCTGCTGGAAATTGTGCTGCTGTGCTTGGTGCTAGCGAAAAATTGGGAGTACCTACATACTTGCATACATATTTGGAAAGGAAAAAGGATATATCGGAGAACAACTAAATGTGAGTTCAATGCTATCTATACATTGGTGCATACAACAACAACAAAGCACGTATGAACCTTTCTATGTGTTTAAATATGTATTTGCTTTGCTGCAAAGTTACCTACATACATATGTATGTACAAATGTATGAACGCGCGTGCATTCCTGCGACATTCTAATTGTTTATTCTATGATTTTTTAATTAATTGTTGCACGCAAGCTACCTTTGATTTGATTCTTTTTCTCATATTTATGTACATATATATGTATGTATGTATGTATGTATGTACATATGTATATTTATACGCAGTTGCTTCTTTCCATTTCTATAATTTTGTTTAATTACAACTTTGAGTGAGAACAGCCAGGTGTAATATATGTATGTATGTATGTATGTATGAATACTATATTGTTTATCTGCGTAATTTATGAGCTGAGGATGTCTACAACAACACTAACAACAAAACAATCGTAGCGCAAATATACAAATGGCATGAACCACAAAGAATGGTGACAGCTTAAGTGCCCTGCCTGGCTGGCTGCTTGCATATTTGTATTTACATAGTATGGGTCAAAAACGTTATTTACTTTTCGTTGGTTGATTTTTTCGTACTCGTACTAGTATTCGCAAACACTGCTTATTCCCAACTTTGCTTTACTTTGTTGCCTGCTTTTGCAAGCAAGCTGCAAGTTGCAATGTTTTTTTTTTGTTTTTTTTTTTTATTTTTATTAGGAATCCATCGTCGCATCTGCGGCTACGGCTGCGTCTGTTGCTGCCACTGGCATTGCCGCAACCATTGCACCACATCATTTGTGCACTCATGCACACCTATATTTATATGTGCATATGTATGTATGTAAAATAGTAAATTACTAGCTGCTCTCTGCCTCGCTCGCGATGCTTTTTCACTAATGGCTGACGAGTGTCGATTGAGTGAAATCTCGCGCGCATATCCGTTTCTCATCTCGGTTGCTCAATTGCTGAGCGGCGTAGGTATTCACAATAGCGTTCGCGAAGTTTGGAGTTTTGGCCAGCAGCCACAGGACACCCCTCTGCGTTAATCCAACCAAGCAAGCAAGCAACCAACTTCATTTAGTCATAGTGAAATGCGACATTGCGGCTGCATATTTATTGTTGTATATATTTTGTTTTCCTATTTATGTACTCATTGCCCTTTGCCTTTTGTTGTATTGCCTTTTCCTATTTCCAACATTTTTCATCTTTGCCCTGTGCCTTGCGCTATCTGTGTTTGCTATGCTGTGATGTCCGAAAATTTTCAGTTTTCTGTTTACGAATTCTGTTTCGCCAGCATTAAGTTGGTGACGTCTGTGTCTGCATAGTAGTTTTTCATCGTTTACGCTTAACATTAGATAGATACGTATCTGTTTTTCTACTTGTACATATCGGCGTGCCGCCTTTTGTGCTTGTGTTTGTGCGAAAATGACATTCTAACGAAAGGAAGTCAGTTGAAAACAGCCTAGGGGCGTTTGCAAAAGGCAGCTTTAAAATGCGAAAGGATATTGGAATGGTTGGTTGGTTGTTGGCTGTGTCTCAAACACACTTTTCTCTAATTTCGTTGCGGCTACACGCGAGACATTTCAATTAAAGTTTTCGACCACTAATGCTTGCAGGACCTGCTTTCAGCACAAACCGACAACCAGTTATTGTGCCAATTTAAGAAGAAGAAGAATGCCTGCAGGATGCCTCTTTTAGATCACTTGCGGGGAAAAAGTATACAAACAAATTTTTAAATCAACTTTAGCTTAATTCCGATAATCACAAAAGAAAATTTCGCCTTGCATCTACGCAAGTATCTCCATAGATAAATACATGCATATACATATTTAGGTATTAGTAAATAAAATCCCGCTAATCCCACACTTAGTTAAATCTGATTCGCTCGTGTGTTAAGAATTCGATTAAAAGTTTTCTTTAACATAATGTTAGATTTGCATATGAATAGCTAAATTTAAATTTCATTTCATTCACTTGAAGTGGATTCTACGCTTTTGAATGTACATTGTACATTGTACAAACATAGATTTTTTTGTAGGAATTGATAATGTACTACAGGCAATCTAAAGCATCATACTTTGGGCACACCTACGGCTATGTTTTGTCATTTTGTTTTTTGTTGCTGACAATGTAAATGGGGGAAAAGTGTTAGGCTTAGCCGTGGATAACTTATTGTGGGAATATTTGAAAGTACAATAGCTGATTTAAAAAAAAAAAATCCCTAACCTACTTAAAAATGTGTGTACAATGGAAAGCCCTTCTTATTTTTTACAAGCTCTTATTTAACTTGCTATGTATGTGTGCATGTTTGTTGGGTAAAATCTTTAAATCTAATAAAAATAAATTTGTAACCAACTTCCCAAAGAGCTAGATACGTTAAACTTCCAACTTAGCTCAGAGAGCAAAATGAAATAACCCGCTAGGTGGCGCAGGAGTCGATATATTTGAAAACCGATAGTCCGATTTGATTCATATTTGGAATGTACATACAGATTATGTACAAGTGTACTATATGTATATTACGCCGTGCGACAGTAAATATTACACACAAAAAAGACAATAGGGGTATTTTCGCAGTCTTGCAAAGCCGTTGCCAGTGCACGGTTTGCAAAGCTGTCCCATACGGAAACCGGTTTTCACCATGCAATCTGTACACCGTGCAAGGGCTTCGCAAAACTCAGAGAATACCCCTGATATATTTGCGAAGGTCTTCGAAATTTCGAAATTATGATAACTTAATTTAAAAAAAAAAATATTTAAAAAATTTTGTGCAATTGAGAATATGGGTGTTAAATAAAATAGGAAATTCTGCATAAGGACGCATGGGTATCGAAAATGTCCTTTTAAAATTGTATCCTAGAATATCCTTGAAAATTGTATTTATTCAAAAAAATATATATGTTGCTAAGGACTAATATAAACGCGACCATATCTTCGAATTTCTTTTGTCTAACTGTGTTGGCTTAAAAAATAAAATTAATTAAAAGGACATTTTCAATGCCTATTTGTCCCTGTGAGTCAAAAAACTTTAACTTTTTTTAGCCACATTATTTTTCTACATTTCACTGAATTTTTTAAGGATTTTTTTAATAAATTATAAATTCGAAATTTCGAAATCCTTTTAAAAAATCCTGACGTCAGAGAGACAAACTAAAAACAAGAAAAGTTAGCCGGTAGGTGGAGGGGGGTCAATATATTTCGAAAACCTACATCTATGGTTTCATTTAGTTTACGTTACTCAAAAGGAATAACTCCACATATAATATGCCAATATGCGACGCAGTATTTATGGTTCGATTCGGTTCATATGTATTTAGAAAACTTTTTTAAATATATTTTTTACATTAGATATTACCTTATTATATTTTTTTTACTTAGGTATGTATACCTTAACAGATTATACAAAAAGGAGTAGTTGAAAATTTTTGTATTGTAAACAGAGAAATATTGTATTTCCAGACGTAAAATTTTTAGTTTTCTTCTAAATTCGACTCTATGTATTGAAAACTATCTCAGCCAAAACTTAAACTGGGTTCTAGGAACAACATATAGTTTAAGATACACTCAGAGAAAAATTTTGTTCTAAAAAAGTGCGACTGGGATTAAATTTTTCATTATTCGTTCTTAAGATTTTTAAATCTTTACTTTCTTACGGCAGTGTGACACGATTGGACACTTGCCCAAAATTTGGTGAATGCACAAATATTTTTTTTTATCCCAATCACTAAAAAAATGTTCAAATATTTCAATAGAATTTCGGTGTATTGTACCAATCGTGTGACTACGAAAAAAATTGTCCTCCCGATTTTTTTATTTTGTCGGTGTCGCGGTTCTTGAAATAAGAATTTGTTTACTCCGTATAAGAATTTTTGGTGTTTCCGTACCTTTTCAATCGCCTAATTGGATTATAAATTCTTGTTTTTTTGAACCTATAAACCTACCTTAGTAAATGCCCGCCACTCCAGCAAAACAGGATATAAAAAAAAAAAATGACATGACTTTTTAGCAAAAGTCGGGCTGTACATCATTTGTTACTCGTATGATCTCATTCCTCAGCTCTGGAGTCGCCTCAGGCTTATTTTAATAGACCATACTTTTCATGCAGCCCTAGAGAAATAAGTCCAATTTGACCTCGTTGTTTCGTAAGATAACGTATTCTGGGAATTCCGCTCGCAATAGGGTCAATGTTTCATGCGCTGTGTGGCAAGTCGGGTGGAAACCACATATTGTCCAAGTCCATTTAATCTAATTCAAGCCATAAAAAGTTTGTTATCATGTCACGATAACGTTCACTGTTCACAGTAACTGCGTTACCGACATAATTTTCGAAGAAGTATGGTCCACAAGCCCAAAAACCACACCAAACAGTGACTCGTTGTGGGTGGATAGTTTTTTCTTGAATGACTTCTGAAAAGGTCTCTAGGCGTCAGTTCCTGTATCAGTTTAATTTTGTAGGCATACAAATTTAATTGATTCATATGGCCGGTTATGTTGACGAAAAGATCACGCATGCAACCCGACCATTTACATAAGGTATTTGAATCACTTTTATGCGTTTTTCAACTGAATATCGCGCCATGACTAGGTTGCCAAAGTCTGTAGGACCAATCGTCTGGGGCATTAACACACTCGTTTCACAAATAATTGCTGGCAAAGATCTGCATCACCCTTACATCACTCTATATTCCAGCACTCTTCCATTATAGTGGTGCCGCTTCTTCTTGATAAGTACGAGGGCAGAGAAAATTCCTCTAGGGCGCTGGAATATTTTGCCAGGAAGACAAGTTAAATACACTTTTTATTCCAAGAATGATTATCAGACAGCATTTAACTGGTGCCGCTTCCCTTTAATGCCATTCTCTGCTATATATTTGTATTCTTTACAAGCTTAAAGGCGCCAGCAGTTGGCTGTGGTTACGAGTATGCGGGCCACAAAAAAAAAATTCACATGAACATTTTTTAGCCGCCCATAGTGAATACATGGAAACCAAAAGTGAAAAGTG